AATATGGCCCACTAAGGAAAAGAAAGAGAAAGAAAATAAATAAGTCTCACTTATTTTTTTGTATGTATATCTCATGCAGTGTTGTGAAACTCAGCCCGACCCGGAACCTGGTGAATCGGTCATCGGACCGGTTCGGGTCAAGCATCGAATCGATCATGCATCAGACCCGGTCGTGTCATGCATTTAAAAAAAAAAATTGTTTCATCTTATTAGAAAAATATGTAGAACTCATTTTAAATTTTTTTGTAATTTTATTTGCTAGTAATATACTCTCTTACAATTACATCAAATTTCAGCTTCCAATACTGAAACAATTTGCGGAACAATAAATTAAGAGAATGTGACATATGTCATTTCAATGTAGAGGAATTTGAAAAATATGAGTTCACAACATATGACATTTTGAATGTCATTGAGAGATATATTTATGGGGATTCTGAGTTGCAATGTAAATTAACATAATAATAGAATGCATTGTCATTTATTTGTATTTTATGAACTTATAAAAGTATGATTGAGTAATTTTTAAACTTATTTAGTGAACTTTGTTTAACTCATTTTAAATATGAAAAATATAATTAAATTTATATGTTCATATTTATATATATTTATAGGGGAATGATATACTTACTATCAAAAAAATTTATCACCCTTACAACCAACTTAATCACCGTTGATTTCCGTCAATCTAACAGCTATATTTTATTGGAAATTATTAGGTTGTACTTATTAATTAATTGTTAATTCTTAATAAATTATAACCGTTAGATTGACGGAAATCAACGGTGATTAGATTGATTGTAAATGTGGTAAAATTTTTTGGTGGTAAGTATATCTTTTCCCGATTTATATATATATTCGGATCAATTGTTCCGACCAATAATTCATTGGTTTGACTAATGACCCAATACTCCAATCGAATCGATGCCCAGATCGAATTTAATAATACTAAATTCTAGTGCATTATGAGGAACTATATTCTTAATAATTAAAAAAGGCTTTAATGTTTCTATAGTGAATGTAGATAAGTTATCTACATTCATTCTCAAAACGACGTCGTTTTAGGTTGAAAAAAAAATTATAATGAAAAGATTTTTATAACCCTGAAATAAATTATTATTACCAAAATATCTTGATTCCTGCCTCAAAACAACGTCATTTTGAATTTAATATAGATAAATGATTTACATTGACTATAGAAAAAATGAATGCATAAAAAAAGGGAAAAAGACTTTTCATGTTGCATGAGAAGTCTCCTCTCCTACCACTCTCACTTCGATGTCCGTGTCAATCACTTTTTAATTTTTAATTTTTTTCTTTATGGTGGGCACCACCCCTTTCTCTCTCAGTAGAAAAACTTGAATTTCTTATGCAACATGGTAAATTGCCAGCCTTTAAAAAAAAGGAAAAAGAAGTATCTTTTTGAATGACACAAGCTTGTGTCATTTAAGGTGTTTTACACAAAGTACGACCGGTTGTACTTTGTGTAAAACTGAAAAGTTGCTTTTTTCTCTCTTCCCAATCACATCGCTGACGTGTAAAGTGAAAAAAGTAACTTTTTAGAATTACACAGAATACAACCGGTCGTACTCTATGTAAATCACTAAAAGGACACAACTTGTGTCCTTTTGAATGATACACTAAACCCTTAAAAAAACACTTAGGTGGTGTTTGGTAGGAGGATAAAATTTAAAATCCTAGGAAATTTAAATTAGGATTCCAAGATACCTATGCTTGGTACAAGGAAATGGAGAATTTTCCTAAGTATTTTGCTTTCCTGGTATTTTAATTTGTGAAGAAAATTTCCAAGTAATAATACCTTCTTATATATGGTATTCTGAAAAACCTATACAGTGGGAAAATATTTTCAAGTTTTTTGGACAAAAATACCCCTTCCCCCTCTCTCTCTGCTATAGTTCCCAAATCGCTTCCCCCTCCCTCCCTCTCTCTCTGCTAGTTCCCAAGTCGCTTCACATCCATCCTCCCTCTCCAGCCAAAGCTGTAAAATCAATTGCAGACAAGTTCAATTTGAAGTAAAAGAGGTGAATTTGGAGTTTTAGGAAAGGAAAAAATAAAAAATGGTGTATGCTGGTACATGTCCTGTTGGTGGTTCGATTTGGCATCAACAATAAAAATGGTTCATGTTAATAGTTTTTTAATAAAGTTTCCATCTGCACTATAGCGTGGTTTTTGGTTGCCGGCTTTTCTGGACTGAGAGTGAGCGAGAGAGATAGTTGGAAGTGATAAAGGTTATTTTTGTAAAATCAACTCACAATCCCAATAATATTTGACAATTAACCAAACATAGAATCAGTAATTTGAGGCCAATATTCCCGGTAATATTTTAATCTACCAAACAACTTTTGGTCACATTCTTGAAAACTCACTTTCCTATCATATTCCTGAGAATTATGATTCTCAGACATAAAAAAATTTCTCCTCTACCAAATATCACTTTAAAAAGTTCCTAACTCAAATTTTTTTTTGAATTTTGGCGGTCTCAACAAAAAATCGGAACTTGCATTCATTCGTCGCATCTCTTCCGAATTGCTTTCAGTCACGAAAATTTACTTCTCTCTCTCTCAATCATATCTAAAGGGTCCAGACAACTCAGAAGTGTTTGATAGAATGATTATTTTTAGATGTCTGAAAAAGTCAGGTGGATTTTCTAGAATTCTATATTTGGTAGCATGCTAGAAATTTTTTTATCCGAAAAGTTATTTTTTCGAGATTCTATTTTATATGTATTTTCTAAATTAAAATATGTACCATCAAAAAATACCATCTAGAGAATACATTTCAAGAATTCTAACTGATTAAAAAATATGAATTAATTTTTTTTACAAAAATAATCAAATATAATATCAAAAAATTAATTCAATATTTTTTAAAAATTTAATTTTTATTATATTTTCAAAAATCATGAGTCTCCCATAAAAAAAAATTTCCCCTCCTTCAAAGTATCGGCGGATCATGGTAGTTAAAATCTCGATTTAAATCTGCGATTTTACGATTTTACAATTTTTTTCAATCAGAACGATTTCATCAAAATTTCAAACGTTTTTATGATTTTACAATTTTTTATGATTTTTTTTTACGCTAGAATTTTACGTTTTATAATTTTTTATTCACCTTCCGATTTTAGATAAAATCTCAGTTTCAACTACTTTGGGCGGATGCCACCACAATAGTATCAGCTGATGATTCACTAGTTTTGTAATCGGAGACATCAATAACTCCTCCAATGCTGCATTAACCTCTGCAACTGTTACACTGAATTTTAATTGAAGAGAATGATTATTTAAATTTATCAATTAATAAAAAATAAGCAACAATTATTTAGGTAATAGACATTCAATAATTGTTGTTCATCAATTAAAATAATAATAAATATCATATTATTATTCATTCAACGTAACTATTCATGCGATAAACACCAAATGATTGTTATTAGCCAATCAAAGATTAGTAATATGTCATTGATATAAGTTGTTGTGCCACTTAATCACTATCGGAATAGTTACTATTTTGTATATATTGACCAATCAGATATGAATAATAGTCATTAAAATCAATATCAATTTCCTATTGCTGATTACTGAAATACGAGCAATAACTATTCACATGGTAGCTACCAATTAACTGCTGTTAATCATTTTGAAATGAGCGTAATTCTTAAAAATAAGGAAAATTTTGATTATTACGTAAATTTTTATTTTTTTATAATTAAATTAAAATAAACCTTCTCAGTAATTTAATTTTTTTTATTTCTTTTAAAATAAATTTTTTCATTGGCATTTATTTCCCTAAAATTTTAGTATTAATAGGGGAAATGGTTTGTCATGTTACATGACAACAAATCAATTTTTCTACGCACACAATTCAAGCTGAGTTTTACTTTTGATTTTTTTCTCACTCCATTATTTAATGAACCTCACATATATCATAAGTGTGTAGGAAAATAGTTTGTTATCATGTAAAATGATAAAAACAAAACCCGTATTAATATTGTGATAAGGAAAGACACACATATTAAAATAAATAAAACATGTTTTAGTTCAGATACCTTTTGTTATCTTATAATACTTTAATATTTTTATTATTTCTGTCTCTTTGGTTGAATTTTTTTACATGAAAACATTTTTTTACATATAAACACGAACATAAAATTATCTTAATATTTATATGTATGGCAATAAAAACTCCATAAAATTATTAAGAAGCTAAATTAATTAATTAATTACTTTTTAAATAAATAAATTATTCTATGACATTTAAAAACTTAAATATTTATATTGCACAATAGTAAAAACTTTACATAAAAATATAAATATTTATTGTAATCAAATTAATTTAATGTAACTTAATATTAGGTATCTAAATAGATTATACAGAGAGAGAGTTATGAAAAGTTTTAGAGAAAAATGTGTGTCATTTTAAAGGATGTAAAGTTGTGTCATTTTAAGAGAGAAAAAGATATAAATAAAGAGGAGAGAGAGAGCTGACAAAAAAATAAAGGTGTGGATCCTACCTCTTTATGAGAGTAAAAAGATATAAGTTGTATCATTTAAAAGAATAACACTTTTCTCAAAAAATTTATTATTTTTATGTTTGCATGCTTTAATAGATTAGGTTGGCTAAATAGATTATTTTTATGTTTACATAATAAATAAGAGAAAAAATAAAAACAAAGTGAATCCGCAATGAAAAATAAAATAAAGGGTTTTATACCTATCATGTTGCATGATATTCTTAGTGTCATGTTTTTCTCACGTGACAAATGGAACCCACCTTTTTTTCTTTTTTCTTTTTAAGTGGGATCCATATCAAATATATTAGAGTAACGTGACACTAAAAATGTCTTACAATAAAACCCTAAAATAAAATAAAGTGAACCCGACCCAAAAACCCAAATTTGAATTGCACCGACCAACACAAAATCCTCCAAGGAAAGCCTTAGGCCTGAAAGCTGAAGATGCTTCCTCGGTTACCCAGCTCAACGTTGCAGGTAAATATCATAAATTTTGTTATTTTGAATGAATTCCCAATCGTTGTTGATGAGATTGAGATGTGGGTATTCTTGCTTTAAGACTATACAATTTTTGTTTTTGTTTTTGTGCTGAGTGATGGCACTGAGGTTGAATCATTATCTACTGGAAAAGGTTTTAGCTTCCCATTTCTATGCTAACCATTTATCTTGTATTGCTCTGAGTCTGTATTCTGCAAGAAATTCTGTTTCTGGTTCTTATTCAACCACTAATTTTGAAGCTCAACGTGAGGGTAAGTGCAACATTAGGAATTTCAATGATGGTTTAGGGAAAGTGGGTTCTGGGTTTCCAGGGGAATTATGTTTTGCTGCAAGTATCAATGATGTTGTAAAAGAAGAAAAGGAAGAAGATGAAGAGGGTGAAGGAGAGAGGGCTAGTGATGATGATGATGATGATGATGATAGTCTTGAGTTTATCAGCTCCTTTCGTGGCAATTACAAACAGAGAGAAAATATTGCAAGACTTGAAATTGATGAGAGTGAATTCAGACACCCTTTGGTTAAGGAGGTTTGTAGGTTAATTGCACTCAGGTCTGCTTGGAACCCAAAACTTGAAGGACATTTGAGGCACTTGTTAAGAAGCCTCAAGCCCCCACATGTTTGTGCTGTTTTGCGCTCTCAAGTTGATGAACGTGTTGCTTTGAGTTTTTTCTACTGGGCTGATCGGCAGTGGCGCTACAAACATGACCCTATTGTCTACTATACAATGCTGGATGTCCTTAGCAAGACTAAATTATGCCAAGGTGCAAGGCGGATTCTTCGGCTTATGACCCGCCGTGGAATTGAATGTACACCTGAAGCTTTTGGCTACGTGATGGTATCTTATAGTCGTGCGGGAAAGTTGAGGAATGCCATGCGAATTTTGACCTTGATGCAGAAAGCTGGAGTTGAACCTAATTTATCTATATGTAACACTGCTCTCTATGTTTTGGTGAAGGGCAATAAATTGGAAAAGGGACTGAGATTCTTGGAACGAATGCAGCTGGCTGGAATCAAACCCAATATTGTCACTTATAACTGCTTGATCAAGGGTTACTGTGATTTACGTGGGATTAAAGATGCATTGAAGCTTATTGCAGAAATGCCATCCAAGGGATGCCCTCCAGATAAAGTTAGTTATTATACTGTGATGGCTTTCCTCTGTGAGGAGAAAAAAATTGAAGAAGTGAAGCATTTAATGGAGAACATGGTTCAGAGTGGTAAATTAATACCAGATCAGGTTACATATAATACACTTATCCACGCGCTTTCAAAGCATGGACATGCAGATGATGCTCTTGCTTTCTTAAGGGAAGCAGAAGACAAGGGTTTCCACATTGATAAGGTTGGGTATAGTGCAGTGGTTCACTCCTTCTGTAAGAAGGGGAGGATGGGTGAGGCAAAGAGTTTAGTGATCGATATGTACTCAAGAGGCTGTAATCCTGATGTAGTGACATATACTGCTATAATTGATGGATTTTGTCGCATGGGGAAGATAGACGAAGCAAAAAAGATGCTGCAACAGATGTACAAACATGGGTGCAAGCCAAATACTGTATCATATACAGCTTTGTTGAATGGGCTCTGTCACAATGGAAAATCATTAGAGGCGAGGGAGATGATTAATGTAAGTGAGGAGCATTGGTGGACCCCAAATGCCATCACTTACAGTGCCGTGATGCATGGGTTCCGTAGGGAGGGAAAATTGTCTGAAGCCTGTGATTTGACCAGGGAAATGATTAAAAAAGGTTTTTTTCCAAATCCAGTTGAAATAAACCTGCTATTACAGTCTCTCTGTCAAAATCAGAAAGTAGTAGAAGCTAAAAAATATTTAGAAGAATGTCTGAATAAGGGCTGTGCCATTAATGTTGTAAACTTTACTACTGTAATTCACGGTTTTTGTCAGATCGGTGACTTGGAAGCTGCTCTATCAGTGCTAGATGACATGTATCTAAGCAACAAACATCCTGATGCTGTCACATATACAGCATTGTTTGATGCATTGGGGAAGAAAGGTAGACTGGACGAGGCTGCTGAGTTAATTGTGAAGATGCTCGGCAAAGGTTTGGATCCTACCCCTGTAACATACAGGACAGTCATCCACTGTTATTGTCAATGGGGTAGAGTAGATGATATGCTGAAGTTATTGGAAAAAATGCTTGCTAGGCAACCATTTGGAACAGTATACAATCAAGTTATTGAGAAGCTTTGTGATTTTGGGAACCTTGAGGAGGCTGAGAAACTTCTAGGGAAGGTTTTGAGAACTGCATCAAAAGTTGATGCTAATACATGCCATGTTCTGATGGAAAGCTATCTGAAAAAAGGGGTTGTTCTATCAGCATATAAAGTGGCTTGTAAAATGTTTAGACGTAATTTGGTTCCTGATCTGAAGTTGTGTGAGAAAGTGAGCAAGAGACTGATGGTAGATGGTAAGATGGTGGAGGCTGATAACCTTATGTTACGATTTGTTGAGCGTGGATTACAACAAAATGAGATGCATTTGTGAAGTTAGCTGTTCTTCTAAGCTTAAACGTCATATTGATGGATCCATTTTCAAATCCGTTTATCATTTCCCTTTGTTGGTATTCCATCTTGTTGCGTTTAGTGTGGTAAGGCATTTTTGTTTTTTGGAGGGGGGAAAATGATTTTGTTTTAAGAATGTAAATTTCATTCATATAATTATTTATGTATTTGGTTTAGATGATTTTTTCATTAAGTTCAGTTACAGATAACAGATTGCTTTCTCTTTAGTGGTGAATGGTGATAATGATATGTATATCGCTTATGAATCACCGTTTGGACAAAAGAAAAAATAGGCTTCTTCTCTTATACGTTGTACATGAGAATGAGACCCCAACAAAGGTGTGATAATCATTTGGAAGTGAACTGATGGACTTGTGTGCATTGGCTGCTATAGCTGCTACAATTATCTGTTATTGTGTAGCACCTCCCTCTTTGGGATAAGCACTATAAGGGTCCTTGATTAACTCATCATTAGTTCCTACATATATAATCGAAAAATGGTAAGGTGAATACATTCTTTTAAGCATTGCAGCAATGGTGTCTATTAGCTACCAGGCTACTAATTAAATGTTATAATGGATTTTCGTAGATATTGTAAGGACTTAACATGATAAATTGTAAATGACATTTTCTAATGTATCGGGGACCTAGGTCATAGGAATGACTACACCTAGCAAGAAGATCAGCACAATCATGATAAAGCAGGAAGAGAATAGAAAAGCACTAGAGATTTTTTTAGTTGGTTTACATCATGTTTTACGCACTGAAATCATAAATCATAATAGACACTTTTAGGATGACCTCCTTACATATGTTAGACAGTGATACGAGTGTTTATTATAAATATGTAGAATACTTTCGGTTTCATGATCACACATTATGCAGGTATCACTTGGTCTCGGTTTTGTGTAAAGATTATATATATGCTTTAAGAAACCAAAAAATATTATTTGAATAAATTAGTAATTTTCAAGTACAATTTAATTTTCATACCCAGTTAAAATTTAAAAGTTAAATAATGATATCCTTATTTACAATAATGAATAAGAGATATTATTAGAGTTAATTTCAAATTTTAAATAATGAAAGCAATTTATCTACTGTCATTCATAGAAATAAAAAAATATTTTTTCAAGTTATTTATAACTGACATTTTTTTTTTTTTTTAAAATTCAACATAAAAAAAAGTTCATTTTTTCTGCGGCGAATGTAGATAACACTGAACTCAAAAAAACTTCGTTTTGGAGCGGAAATCAAGGTGTTTTTGTAATTATAATTTATTGCAAAATTATAATAGTTTTTATCATTATATTTGTTTAATCTTTCAACCAAAACGACGTCGTTTTGAGAGTGAATGTAGATAACTTATTTACATTCACGGAAAATATTAAAACCATAAAAAAAAGGATTTTATTATTTTTTGTGATGTGTAAATTTGAGAAGGGGAATTTATATACGAGTAACAAGATCGATCGGTTCAGCTTTGCAGTTTTTGTTGCATGATTTTTAAAAGACAAATTATAGTTTTCACTGTGCATACATAAACTTCATTTTCTACACGTAATCCTCAAACCTATGGTAAAAACTATAACTTTATATTCTTTGGTCAAATTTAATTGTAACAGCATACACGCGAAAAGCGGAATATAGTTATAGCTTATTTATTCTTCTTCTCTATTTCTTTCTCTCCCTTATTGCAGGGATACATTAAATGCAGAGGTTTTGATACAATCATATAACATTAATTTCATAAATAAGAATAATAACAATAGTAATAATATGTAAAGAGTGATTCCGCCAATGAAACGATCTAGATATTGTCATGATGTGATAAGTTGAAGTGATTAAAATTTTGAATTTTATGTGATAATAAGTAAATAAAAAATGCTATTGGGTAAGAAAGTGAATAATTTTTGTTATTAGGTGATAATATGTTAAAAATATGAATGAATCTTTATGAACGACTTATTAAATAAGAAAGTGAATACTTTTTGTTACATTTTATCAGTTACCATTTATTTCTCAAATCTCACCTTTTTCTTATTCAACCATAATTAATCATGAGACATTCATAATATTTTTGTATAAAAGCTTTTGTGTCAAATAACATTAATGTGCTTACCAAAAAAATAATAATAATAACATTAATGTTGTAATAAACATATCTATCAGTTTAAATTTTAAGTAACTGATAAACATATACACTGCTTGCTAAAATTGAAGTTATATATTTGAAATTCAAAATTTTCCTATATATCATACCAATAAACAATTTCTTTAGATTTGCATACAAGAAACTTTCCTTTGTTTTTTTGTCAATATTAAAGAGGAAAATCCAAAAAAATAAGATAAAGCCTCAATACCTACCAATATATACCAATCAGAACAAACATCATTTTTTTTTTGGGTACATTCCTTAATACTTTTTTTGGTGACTTGTGAAGATGAGAACTTTAATTCATCTCAAATTCCACCATGAGGGATGATCCTTTATTTCCACTATCATAATCAATAAATAGTAAGGATTTTGATAATCATACACATATGTTAATATATTAATTAATTAATGTGAACTTAATAATGCTCTTTTGCCAAAAAAAGGAAAAAAAAGGGTGAGAAAAACATTCTAGAAGCTGTAACAAAAAGTAGTATCTTGCGCAGAAATTAAAGTAAAAATTAGTATCTTGCGCAGAGAGTAAAAATTAACACTAAAGATTTTCTGGTTTTTGAATAAATGAAGATTCTGTTAATATCATAGTCATTTAAAATAGGGAACTAATCTTCTTCGTAGCTACCTAGCTAACAGAATCTCACGCAATCTCCATATTATTTCTTTCTTTTTGTTATCTACTTCTTGTTCTTGTTGTTCTTGTTCACTGGTTTGGTCTTGAGGAAACCATGGCACAGAACAACGCAGAGGTGCCAGCAACATCTTCATCACAACATGAAAGAGACAAAGCTAACCAAAAAGTTCCATTCTACATGCTCTTCACTTTTGCGGATCACCTTGACGTGGCGTTGATGATCATTGGCACGATTAGTTCCGTCGCTAATGGCTTGTCACAGCCTCTCATGACCGTTATCTTAGGGAAAGTCATCAACACTTTTGGCTCCACCGATCCATCACGTACTATCAACGAAGTTTCTAAGGTTTTATAACTAACCTCCTTTTGCAATATTACTCAGCCCTAAAAACTATTATTATATGATCCCTCTTCTGTAAGCTTTGCATGCTATGTCCATTTTGTATTTGCTGTTCCGTTAATGCAAATTGTGTTATCAAACTAACTTATGTACTTGGCACTTCAAATTTCAGGTTTCATTATTATTTGTTTACCTGGCTATTGGCTCTGGAATAGCCTCATTTCTACGTAAGATATTGCTTCTTCTTTTTTGTTTTGTTTTTTCTCTCCCTGTGTTCTGCATATTTATTTGTTTATTTGAGTCTTTCAAGATATATATATATATATATATATATATATATATATATATATATATATATATATATAATTGCATGCAGCATTAATGTGATATATATGATGGTGATTTTGTTGAATGGTGCAGAGGTATCATGTTGGATGGTGACAGGAGAAAGACAAGCCGCGAGGATCCGTGGCTTGTACTTGAAAACTATATTAAAGCAGGACATTGCCTACTTTGACACTGAAACAACAACTGGCGAGGTCATTGGAAGAATGTCTGGTGACACCATTCTCATTCAAGATGCCATGGGAGAAAAGGTATGCTCCTTTGTTACCTCAAATTAATAAGGGTCCTTTTTCTAGTGTCAAAAAGTGAGATTCACCTCTTCTTAAAAAATAAAAAAGAAGAAGCTAGAATCCGTTGATTTATCCTGTTTTTTTATGTGTTGCTGCAAAATTTCCCTTCTATAGTTACAACAAAAGTACATTTCTAAATTAATAAATATCAGATTAATTTAATTCTGGATTATGTCAAATTTGTTATCGTCGTCTTATCAATGTAAAGAACCTTGGGATACACCATCCCAAAAGCTAGCTCAAAGGGTAGGAGTGCCCAAGGCATTATAAAGGTCACATTAGTTGCCCACACAATCAATGTGGGACTATATATCTCAACACGCCCCCTCACACAAGAGCCGTTTGGGCTAGAAGCGTGGAACTGCACAGACCCAATTTTTGGTTTACCTTTTTGTGCTTTTTATTTTATTTATTTATTTTTTTTGATATCAGTGCTTTTTATTTTAATTCCACTTGAAAGTGAGAGGCCGTGAAAATCGAACTTGTGACCTTATAGTCACTCAAGCTCTGATATCAATGTAAAGAACCTTGGGATACACCATCCCAAAAGCTAGCTCAAAGGGTGGGAGTGCCCAAGGCATTATAAAGGCCACATTAATTGCCCACACAATCAATGTGAGACTGTATATCTCAACAATCAATAATATTAAATATATAGGGATAGAATCATCTTATCTTAATATAAGTTACGCTTTCAAACTCAACTTTTGATTTTAATTGTAATTAATGTTTCTACAATTCATCAGATACAAATGAATCAATAGCAAAAAAATGGGCTTAAAATAATTTGAATAAGATTTTATGACAAAACATGACAAAAACTTGTAATGACAGGTTGGGAAGTTTATACAACTTGCTTCAACTTTTTTTGGTGGCTTTGTGATTGCCTTTATAAAAGGATGGCGACTAGCTGTAGTTTTGCTTGCATGTGTACCTTGTGTCGTCATTGCTGGTGGAGTTATGTCCATGTTGATGGCTAGAATGTCAAGTCGTGGGCAAGCTGCTTATGCAGAAGCAGGAAATGTTGTTGAGCAAACAGTTGGAGCTATTAGAACTGTAAGACACACAAAAATCAATTATTGACAACACTAAATAATTTGCATTTGTACTTAACCATTGTCTTTGAAATTTAAATCAGGTTGCATCTTTTACTGGCGAGAAAAAAGCAATAGAACAGTATAATAGCAAGTTAAAAGTTGCTTATTCTTCGATGGTTCAACAAGGGATGGCCTCGGGATTAGGAATGGGAGTGCTTTTGTTGATTATCTTCTGCACCTATGGACTTGCCATGTGGTATGGTTCCAAACTGGTTGTTGAGCATGGATACAATGGTGGAACCGTCATGAATGTAATCATAGCTCTTATGACTGGTGGAATGTAAGTGAGACATTGGCACTTGATTGGATAACTGACATTGACATGAAGTTGTTTAGAAAAAAATCTAATATACTACCGTCGTATATACGTCCCACTAATTGGAGCATAACACATCAGTTGACATATTTTTTGAATAGAGAAAAAAAAAAGCAACTTTAATATTATACTTATGTACAGGGAAATACATAGTTTGTAATTTCATTTTAAACGCGAGTCATACCCAGTACTTAGTGTTACGGTAGTAGCAAAGATGTTCTCGTTGTTTAGGCCTAAGAACTTTTTTTTTTTTCTAGTTTGTATTTTGCAGAGCTTTGATAGGTATCAGAACCTGATTAACTTTTCTTACATTCCCAGGTCACTTGGTCAGACATCCCCAAGTCTAAATGCATTTGCTGCAGGCCAAGCAGCAGCATATAAGATGTTTGAGACAATTAAAAGAAAGCCCAAAATTGATGCTTATGATACCAGTGGTGTTGTCTTGGAAGACATAAAGGGAGATGTTGAACTCAAAGATGTTTACTTCACATACCCTGCAAGGCCAGATGTGCAGATCTTTGCTGGATTCTCATTATATGTTCCCAGTGGCACAACTGCTGCTTTAGTGGGTCAAAGTGGAAGTGGAAAGTCTACTGTAATAAGTTTATTAGAAAGATTCTATGATCCTGATGCTGGAGAAGTGCTTATAGATGGCGTGAATTTGAAGAATTTTCGACTTAAATGGATAAGAGAACAGATTGGGCTGGTTAGTCAAGAACCTATCCTTTTCACGGCCAGTATCAAAGAGAACATAGCTTATGGGAAAGAAGATGCAACTGATGAGGAGATAACAATAGCAATAACACTTGCCAATGCCAAAAAGTTCGTTGACAAGCTGCCTCAGGTGTATAAATATTCCAGACTCTTACCTAACATAAGTCATTCCTGTTTTAGGTTTTTATTTCTTTTATTAAGTTTTATTGAAGTCAATAAAAGTGTATTATTCTGTTTGCAGGGCCTTGACACAATGGCAGGACAGAATGGCACTCAACTTTCTGGTGGGCAAAAGCAAAGAATTGCGATTGCAAGGGCAATTTTGAAGAACCCGAAAATCCTTCTTCTTGATGAAGCAACAAGTGCTTTGGATGCTGAGTCTGAACGTATTGTTCAAGAAGCATTAGATAAAGTTATGTCAAAAAGGACTACTGTAGTTGTTGCTCATCGTCTAACAACTATTAGAAATGCTGACACCATTGCAGTGGTTCAACAGGGCAAAATTGTGGAGAAAGGTTATACATGAACCAACTGTTTCAGTTCTATACATTATAAGTTTTGTTAGAGATATAAAATAATTTAAGTTTTTGGGTTGAATTGGTTCTTTACATAGTATCAGAACCTCGGTGTCACGGTTCAATCCTCACTGTCCCCTACTTTCTCTTGTGTAATTTCTTAGCACAGGTAGGCTGGGTCTGATGCATTATTTACCTTTCAAGCCCAGTGGACTCTCGTACAAGGGAGCATGTTAGAGATATAAAACCATTAATGTAACCTCACCAACTGCTTAAGCTTTTGGGTTGAAATGATTCTTTACGAGTTTCAAAAGTAGTTTTGAAACTTTCTTATATATCATGTTAAGTCAGTGGAGAAATCTTAGAAAATCTATTTTTGTGACATCTTGGAATAATGTATTCACTTTTGCAAACTTACTTTATATGTAGGAACTCATGATGAGTTGATCATGGATACTGATGGAGCTTATTGCCAGCTTATTCGTCTACAAGAAGGACAAAAAGAAGCTGAAGGTAGCGGGAATACTGAAGCAGATAAGTCAAGAAACAGTTTCAATATAGATAGTCACATGGATAGATCTTCAAGCCAAAGAACATCCCTTGTGAGATCAATAAGCCGAGGTTCATCAGTGAGTCGACACTCCCAGTCATTTAGCTTTGCTCTTCCTCATACAATTGAAAACGTTCAAACTGAAAATAAGAGGCCCAAAAAGGTTTCTATTAAACGGTTGGCCTACTTGAACAAGCCTGAGGTTCCTGTCTTACTGATTGGATCCTTTGCTGCAGCAGTACAAGGTGTTGTGTTCCCTATATTTGGCTTCTTGTTTTCATCAGCTACTACTATGTTCTATGAACCTCCAGAGCAGCAGAGGAAAGATTCTAGGTTCTGGGCACTTCTATATGTTGGTTTGGGTTTAGTTTCTCTGGTGGCATTACCAACGATGAATTACTTCTTTGGGGTTGCTGGTGGAAAACTTATAGAAAGAATCCGTTCATTGACATTTGAAAAGGTTGTGCACCAAGAAATCAGTTGGTTTGATGATCCTGCAAATTCTAGGTATGTTAACAAGACATTTTACTTCCAGCTAGTAAAGACAGAATAAAGAAACATTAATTATCATATGTTAATTCCTTCTATCATCAAACTGAAAGAAATGAATCACCTTGTAGTGGTGCAGTTGGTGCAAGGTTATCTACTGATGCTTCAATGGTGAAAAGTCTTGTTGGTGACACCTTGGCCCTCATTGTGCAAAACATATCAACAATCACTGCTGGTCTAGTTATATCATTCACTGCTAATTGGATTCTCGCTTTTATAATTCTGGCTGTGTCTCCCTTGGTCCTTATTCAAGGATTCGTTCAGATGAAGTTTCTAAAAGGATTCAGTGCAGATGCTAAGGTTAGCCTTAATTTCAGTTTTGTCGATTCCATTAACGGAATTATGCATTGTGTACACATCATGAGAATCTTTTATTTTTTGTATAGGTGATGTATGAAGAGGCAAGTCAGGTGGCAAATGATGCTGTTGGTAGCATCAGAACCGTTGCATCATTTTGTGCTGAATCGAAGGTGATGGATATGTACAGGAAGAAATGTATAGGTCCAGAACAAGAAGGTGTTCGGTTGGGCCTTGTTAGTGGTGCAGGATTTGGTTTCTCATTTTTGGCTCTATACTGCACAAATGCTTTCTGTTTCTACATAGGATCTGTTCTTGTGCAACACGGGAAAGCGACTTTTGCAGAGGTTTTCAAGGTAGAATCAATCAATTACCTTGGGATGCTCCACCTTTATTTGGTGCTTCTTTTGATCTGGTTCTCATTTGTGCAGGTTTTCTTTTGTTTAACAATTACAGCAATGGGGCTTTCCCAGACTAGTGCATTGGCACCAGACACTAACAAGGCCAAAGATTCCACAGCTTCAATATTTGAAATTCTTGATAGGAAACCTATTATTGACTCCAGCAGCAATGAGGGTATGACACTGGAAACAGTAACAGGTAATATTGAACTTCAACATGTCAGTTTTAGTTATCCAACAAGGCCTCATATTCAAATTTTCAAAGACCTGAGTCTAAGCATCCCATCTGGAAAGGTAATCTTTTGTTTGTACAAATCAATTTCTTGAGAAGATGCAATGTAATTGCATTACTGATATATGTGTCTATGTAGACTGTTGCCTTGGTTGGAGAAAGTGGCAGTGGAAAATCAACAGTTATCAGCCTCTTAGAGAGGTTTTACAACCCTGATTCTGGACAAGTACTACTAGATGGAGTGGATATCAAAATGTTCAGACTAAGCTGGCTGAGGCAGCAAATGGGTTTGGTTGGTCAAGAGCCTATTCTTTTCAATGAAAGCATTCGTGCCAACATAGCTTATGGCAAAGAAGGAGGTGCAACCGAGGATGAGATAATTGTAGCAGCACAAGCAGCTAATGCACACGGCTTCATAAGTTCTCTTCCAAATGGTTATGACACCCCAGTTGGAGAAAGAGGGACACAATTGTCAGGAGGGCAAAAGCAGCGTATTGCCATTGCAAGAGCCATGCTGAAAGACCCCAAAATCCTTTTGCTAGATGAGGCAACAAGTGCACTTGATGCAGAGTCAGAACGTATAGTCCAAGAGGCTCTAGACAGAGTCAGTTTGAACAGAACTACTGTGGTGGTTGCTCACCGTCTTACAACAATTAGAGGGGCTGACATTATATCAGTAATAAAAAATGGGGTGGTTGCTGAAAAGGGAAGCCATGATGTGTTGATGAAGATTAGTGGTGGAGCTTATGCTTCATTGGTAGCTCTACATATGAGTGCATCATAAAATAAGATTTCATCTTAAAATCTATCTTCATGAAGGCATCATATGGTTAGTTTCTGGTGTTCCATTTTTTTGGTACTAAATTGAGTGTCATTCTTACTTGACAACCTGTTCTTGTTTCTTCACGAGGAAATTTTGTTAAATCATCCCGCTTGCCTATCAAGTGGCCATTGAAATTTTGAAATGACTTTCAGTTTTGAGATAGTATCAAGCTATCAATTATTATTCATTAAATAAAATATTTATTTGACGGCCAACATGTTCTAGTTTTTAATGAAAATGGATGATCTCATCTGTTATTTAATGTGACCATAGATATTATAAGAGAGAATTCTAACAATTCAAGGATATGTATCTCTACCTATTCCAATATTTTGTCTTTCTCTTCCTTTATCATCATTGGTTCACCTTTGTGAGTTTACTTTCGTTGTAGCTGTAGTAGGTATTACTTTACCTTAAAAAGAAAATTTTGGGGACTTGGACGGAAATATGATAAAAGCAGGGGCAATATAAAATGATATTTTTTACTATATATGGTAAGAGATGCACAGAGTCTCGGTGCATCTGTAGTACCATAAAAATTTATCACATTTGTATAGTTACAATTCTCGCACATGATAATATTAAATTACACATAAAAGGATAATCTTTTATTGTTATAATCTAAGACTTAAGTTAGACCGGAGAAAATAAAACATTATTAAACATGCCAACAGTCAACAATAGATGACCTAGAGGAATAAATCCCCAAGTTTAATTGGAAGAAGGAAACTATATAAAGGAGATTCAAAAATCAAAACTATGGCCATGCAAAGAAACGTGTCTCTTAAGTCTCTGAGTCGCTGGTGCTTCTTGTGCTACTGCTTCTCTCGGTTGGTCATTCTCTAGGCATTTTCTTTGCAATCCAGTTTTGGAATTTAACCTTTAACGATCGGTCAAAGTTTACTACTTAAACTACAGTTGTGATTTGGAAGTCAACATAGGAGATGTTGTGTTGTGATTAGTCTGATAACAGATTAATGTATGGTGTATATTTAAAGTACACTGATATAAAGAGTTATGATGCTTAAGGACAAGTGTGATGAATACATACATACATACATGAATGTTGATTCCACATACGAGTCCAAAAGATATTATGGTCATACTAGATGAGTATACCTTGACTGCAGGGAACTCTGGTGGAATATGTTGAGTTATTACCGTGAATGCTTCCGATTTTTGGTTGGTTCCAGATATTATAAATTAGTGATGATTTTGTGTATTGTGGAATTCAGGTGAATTAGATTGATATGAGTTTCTGATTCTGAAGTTAATTCTGGTTATTGTGAGTTAAGTATATTCTAGTTGATTGTAACTTCTAGAATAATATTGTGAAGTATTTGTTTGAGGTAGTTAATGAATCTATAATTGTAAAGTTGTGTATGCTTAATGAATGGTAAAAGTGATGTAAAATACTTAATTGTATTATTTGAAATATGATGTTCTCTGTGTTTGGGAATTCAACATGTAATGCAGGAAGTGAACTCATGAGTAGAGACTTCTCCATAAACCCTGAGCTCATTGAGTTTATCTCACCCTGCGGACTTTCTTGAAACAGTTTCCACGTGACTGTTTTACGTCTTTCAGGTACTTTGGTGTGGGTGATAAATCTCGTGGTAAGAAGCCGGTTCGTGAGGATTAGAATTATATGTGAAGCTGTTGGATAGGAAAGTTGCGTGTTTTGCAAATCATCTATATATATGTTTTGATGTGGCATGACTAGTGTAAGAGCATGCAATTTAATGTAGTTTAAACAATGTTTTGAGAGGCCTATGTTTCCTATGTAAATAGTTATGTAGAGATAACAGATATATGTATTTGTAAGTACATATTTATGTATTAGGTTAATGTAAATAGCACAGAGCCATCTTTGCTAGTCTATATGATATAGTTTGAATGGAATGAGTATTGTGTCAATCAGGTGTTGCAAAAATAGTGGGAACGTGATGCCTAGAATTGTTTAATAAACAACGGAGATGTTGTCAAAATTATAAAAAAATGTAGTATAAGTAAGTATAACTTTGGTGAGTTATATATCACTCAATTCTTAGTCAAATGAAACCTGAGAGCTATCATTTTGAATCTCAGGATGTCTTATGTAATATCTCAAAATATGAATGAGTAATGAGTTGCAGTCTGTGTGTAGTTTCATTTAAGTGTAAACTGCTCAGATTTTGCAGTTTGTGTGATATCAAGGGTCTGTCAACTTTGAAAGTAAATATCTCCTTCGTTTCTTATCGAAACAAGGCTTCTGATATATCAAATTGAAGGTCTAGGTGTTAAAAATAACATATCCAAAATTGAGAGCAAAAAGATAAGTAATTTAGTTGCATTTTTAAACGCAGTGAAATAACCCAGATTCAGTATTGTCGTATGTTGACAGATTTGAGTAGTTATCTTACGGTAAATATATCTGGAGTTGTAGAAGTCCAAATTAAGATTATGATACCTTGTTGGAAAGCTTAGAGAGTCTAGTATAATATACTAAAATATGAAAATTTATTGGTAAGTGAGTCAAGTGAAGTTTTGAAAATACCGAACCTATATAAGGTTGGTAAAAAGTGTAAAAGTGTACTAAAGCTTTGTTAGTTTATGGGAACCACTTAGCAATCTTTGAATATGTATTGTTTGATATTTTAGCTATAGAAATTATGTTTCGCAATTGTTTTTGGTTATGATTACGTTAAGGGGATTGTTTAAAATACAGTTGTTTTAAACGAAAACACTTTAAAAAAATAAAAAAAATTGCCGTATTTTAATTCAAATGTTGTGATTGTAATTAAACTTAATATCGTACGTATGTTATAATAGCACTAACTCAATTAATTAGCAAATTACAGGTAATTACATAATTAAGCATGTTTTAGTGAGTAAAATTAAGTATAAGACTTAATTAAATGAATCTGAGTCACTTTGGAGTTAAAAAGTGTACTCAGTGAAAATTAGGGGGTATAAATGGATACTGGCAAAAGTGCCCAAAATATAAAAATAAAATTATAAATATTCCTAGAATAATATTCCAGACTTTTGGGTAAAGTTTGGTAATTATTGGAGTTAAATAGATAGATGAACTGATACCCACTTAAAACCACTTAACATAAGGTTAAGTGGCATAAAACAAAAAAAAGAACCCAAGCCCCCCATTTCCCCGTCGAACCAGCATCAGAGAAGAGAAGAGAGGGAGAAGAGAGGAAGGTGAGGGGAAAACCTAGAGATTGCAAATCTCAACCATTTTGAGTGATTCCAAAGCCTAAACTACTCCAAATCTTCTTCTCTTTCATAATCCTAGCTTAGTTTTGAGTGGGGAGCATTGTGGAGAGAGATATTTCCTCTAAAAAATTTGGCCCTTTGGAGAAATAGAGGTGTTTGAGAGCTTCAACCTCCATTGAAGCTTGAGGAGCCATCAATCCTTGGTAGTGCAACCATTGGTGGTAAGATTCTAACCCTTGAACCTCATGATTCCTTGAAATTACATGAGTTAGGGTTTATGAATAGTGTTTTAGGGTTTTGATGAAATGTTGTTAAATTAGCTATGTTCTAGGAAGAATGGAACTTAGAGCATGTTGTGAAAAATGCTAGGAACGACGTTTAATCGGTGAAAATGAGCTTAGATAGCTAAATGAGCATATTTGGAAAATGGCAAGAATATGACACTTAGATATTGGATTTCTTGCAATTATGATCAATGGGTTGGCTTGGTTGATTGATGATTGGATCCTTGTGATGTCTAGGATTGAGACAATTGGACCAACCGTGAGTGATCAGTAAGTTCATGCTTATGTTTGGTATGAATTGTATAGCTTGGTTGATAAGCTATGAGATGTTATTGGATGCAATATGTGTTAATTGCATTAAACCTTGTGTAGGTTTTGTTTGAGAAGTGGAGTATTGTAATTGACTGACTCTGGAACCTGTTGGTGGTGAACAAAGGTCGAACTGAAGCTTGAGGTAAGCCTTCGGACCTTGGGTGTAATTCCCTTGATTGTTCCACCAAGCCCTGAAAGGGTAGTGGTAATTATAGTGTATATAAATGCAATGAAATAGTGTAATGCTTTGTTATACGTATGTGTATGCATTTGGTGTGGCATAGGATGGTGTTTCCCTATGTGGTATGTTGCATGACGATGCATAAATCATACTTGGTAGTTAGCTGGCCAGTAGGACTATTTGCATATGAGTTTCCTTAGGACAACTTGAGAGCTCGAGGGATTTCTCCTGGAGATGTTATTGCACTTTGCATAGATATGTATTTACTGCATTATTATTGTTATTCCTATTACACTGATATGGAACTGTTGGGTGGAGAGATGCTCCAAGGACCCCTGGTTTACTGGATATATTCGTATATCTCACCCCGTGTTGTGGGGACCCCCTTTCAGGTAAGGATGCTGCAGGAGCCACCAGTGGCAAGTGGCCATATTTGGATTAGCATATGCATGAGAATCCTATATTTTGATATTATACATGTTGTTTTGTAGCTCACATGTATAGGATTGTAATTCATAGACCATTGATAGATGTATGATTTGTATATTGGCATGGACTTAGCCTATGCTCATGCCTTTGGTCATCTCTTTTGTTGATGGGAGCCAAAGGAATGATCATAGTGTTTTGTAAGCTAAGTTCCATGAATTGTAATGAACATGATTTGTAATTGATGAGTACTTTAAGTTTAATATATGTATGCTCATTAAGTATTGGATTGTTGACTGGAAACTAAATTAGGTACCTAGTGCTAAATTGGGAAATGTTGAGAAAACAAATACATCCTGTCCGTTTGACCAATTTTCACACCCAATGTGATGGAATTGGACTTTGATGTCTCTATGAAAGTTGTAGACATTTCTCTTAGCTTTCCATAGAGATCAAAATGGTGTAATTTGAGTGAGTATAGCTCAAGTTATGAGTGGAAAACCATAGGTAGGTTAAATGACCTTGTTTTGGGTCACCCAGCCCTGTGG